GCAGAGTGGACCGGTATACTACGGTCTATTTAAACTGACCAGTGTAACCTTTTATATGTTTGGTTGACTGTATTTTATTTTGATAATGAACAGACTGCGATGTAAGTTTGAATTGTTAGAATATGTGGGGTGTGTGTGCGCGCGCAGGCGCTGGTGCGATCGAACAGCTGAAACATAAAAAACTCAATTTTTGGAATAAGATATAATCCGCAAAAGTGTTTACTTTTATTTTTGCACACAATAAAAAAACTTGTTTATGGAGCGCCGCGCCACACTTCTGTTTTAAATCTGTTAGCTTAATTATTTAAGTCCGATATATTTCGCTTTTTTTTTTTATGAAAACAAATTGTTATTTTAGGCCTATTACTTACATGGGCTATACATTTTACTTAAAGCATCCCATTTTGTCCCAGGGCTTGAAAACCTGGGCCCTAGGCTAGTTAGGTCCTTCAGAAACTTGTGAACGATGCTCGTAGTTGTGGCATCACCGTTTAGTGACATCATCGAATGCTCCGGGAAAACGTATAGTCAGTGTCAGTCACAGCGCCATTTAATTGCTGTTTTGAATCCAGCAATTATTTATTTACAAATTATAAGCTCTGATTATGACAAGTGTGGTATAAAAGCTTTGTTTTTTAGAGGAATATTTGGTTAGCTGGAAACTCTTACATTGCAACCATGCTTTTGGATGCCGTTTGAGCCTATATAGCCTACATTTATGCGGCTTTGTTCTTGGTCACGAATTTCCACAAATTCAATAATATTTAGGCATTGTTTCTTTTCCTAAATCCTCACCGTCTAACCCTCTAATTTCGCAGGTTTATTTTATTGTCATTCACTTTTTATCACCGTTTTTGCATCTCTTACTGTGGTAAACATGCGGAAGGGAAATTTCCATGAATTAAGAATTCGTTCGATTTATTAATTTGTTCCCTCATTTTAGTTAAATCATGGGTTATTTAAGGAACAAAATTAATGAAACATGGACAGTGGCCACAAATTAATATGTCGTAGGAACGAATTAACAAGTTGTAGGAATGAATCCTTGTCCCGCAGCCCTGCAACCTTCAAATATGAAACAATTATCTGGGGAAATGACTGTTAGTACATTTCTATTTCATTCCATGTTGAAGAACTTTGTGTTGTTTCTATTTTAATGTACTTAATACCGTCATGTACCGTGAAACCGGTATGATTTTGAAAAATACCATGATATAAATTTTTGGTCATACCGCCCAGCACTAGTTCAAGTGGTGTGTGTGTAAGGAACTGGAAGCAAGCCGCATACGGCTATTTCTAAAGCACGCAGTGCCATCTGCTGTTAAAAACTAAGCTCAGAATCGATTCAAGAGAGAATCGCGATGCCTTCGGGAAATCTAAGAATCGATGCAGAATTATTTCTCGATTTGCGATGCATCGATTTATTGTCCCAGCACTAATTAAACATGGAAAAAATCTTTCAATTACAATTGTACTATAAAGCTGATGACTAGAGTGTTCACGTTTTTCCTCGCATTTGACCTCAACTGACTGAACAGAAGTAATCCAGAGAAGATTTCTTCGTCAAATAAGGCGGAGCCCCAGAGCACACCTACCTATTAAGCCTGTTTTATACTCACCGCGTCCGCACAAGCGCAAAGGTGGCGAAAATGACGTCATCGTGGAGTAGGCGGCCATGCGCGTTGAGTGCGCACGGCATTTTTTTGTAACTGCTTCCGAAGATACACAACTTTAACACTATTTGCTAAAAGTTGTCTTGTGTTTGATGTGAAATAAACCCAAAAGCTGAAGATTTTTTTATTCAGTTTGTTCATAAAGAAATTAATTCATTCTTCAACTCATTCATCACACGAGACGTCAAGTTTTGAGTCTTGTACCAGCAAATTGCTGCTTCTCGCCACTGATTACCAAAGGTTTTAGAGGACAATTACTCCTCGTCGCCCTCTGTCGTTTCAAAGAATAGTACAACGGCGAACACGACAAGTATAAACGCCTCGTCCGTTTGGGGAGGTGCATGCGCAGTCAGCAGAGGCTCGCGATGTGGAGCCAGGCGAAAGTATAAACAAGGCTTTAGGCAGTCGCCATGAACCAATGGTAGTTTGAAGGCATTTACCAGCTTCGGTTTTGAACTTCGGTTGGCCTGATTTTGTTGGAAATTACATCATACCAGTTGGTTCATTGGTTTCACTTGAAGTATATCAGGGCCTTAAGTTGCCTACCTTTTGTGACTGCTACTTTTATGTCAGGAGTGCGCATGTGATGCCTAAAACTGTTGTGGAACACATATCTTAGCTTCCATTAGTTTTATCTTGTTCCAGGACTGTTACAGATCTGTCTGACCTGTTTGTTTACCATTCTGTCCGTTCCAGGTATCTATTCAGTGGAGTTAGTCAATGATAGCCTGTATGAGTGGCATGTCAAGTTAAGGACGTAAGTATGGCTGCATAACATGAAATACCAGGTGGACTGATGATAGTTTTAGTGTTCAGATCTTTAAAATCATTCTCATGTTTTTTAAGGGTTGACCCAGACAGTCCGTTACACAGTGACTTGCAGGTTTTGAAGGAAAAAGAAGGCATGGACTACATTCTGCTCAACTTCTCTTATAAAGTTAGTTTTTTCTTTGTTGTACAAAAATACTGATTGAAGATAATTTGATTGAAAAAAGAGATTATGCAACTGAATTTCTGTTTTCTTGCTTGCTGATGGCAGGATAACTTTCCTTTTGATCCTCCCTTTGTACGGGTTGCGTCTCCTGTCCTGTCTGGAGGGTGAGAATGAGAAATTTTTCCTAGTAAATGAGTCAGACTAACCTTTCTATGTTAGTAAAAAGTAAAAGTAACGATTTTACTATATTTGATGGATGATTATATTTTTCCCCCTGAGAATAACATAAACGGATGTATTGTGAATAATGCTGTCTTTAAATGTTTTTGCATGAATAATTCAACATGTAATTGTAACTTAACAGAGATTGAGTAATGCTAATTTAATTTGCCTACATTTTAATTATTATTTAGCATTCTGTTTAATACCCCATGTATTTGTGAAAGGCCATTATAAAATAATTCACAGAAAAAATATTAATTTATAATATGACTAATACAAATATTGTTAATTTTCAGAATCATAATCTGAAGAGAAATTAATGGTAATTTGCTCCATCCTGCTAAATGTTTTTTTTTTCTTTCTTATCTAGCTATGTTCTTGGAGGAGGAGCCTTGTGTATGGAGCTACTTACAAAACAGGTTTGAATTCTCTTTAAGTTTTCTAAGGTTTGCACATTAAAATAATTCTTGAATTTCTAAATAATAAAATAAATTTGATCTCATAGGGCTGGAGCAGTGCCTACTCAATAGAGTCAGTCATCATGCAAATCAACGCCACCTTAGTCAAAGGGAAAGCCAGAGTGCAGTTCGGAGCAAATAAGGTTTGTTCGACTTCATGATGAAAAACAAAAATATTTGCCTGCAGAAATGTTGACCCTTTCCTTTTTGTTTTGTGCAGAATCAATACAATCTTGCCAGAGCACAACAGTCTTATAAATCATTGGTTCAGATTCATGAAAAGAACGGTAGGTGGAGAAACCGTAAAACGAGATGCAGAATTGATGCACTTTGAACTGTTCTCAGAAGTTTTTTTCTCATGTCTTTCCTCTAGGCTGGTACACACCTCCTAAAGAAGATGGCTAGGAAAAGCATTGATCTGCTTGCACACTGCAAACATGGGATATCTGGTCAAACCTTTGCTTTATTTTACTAATGTTTTCACCTCTTCAGCTTGAGTATGATGCCCCCTCGTGTAAGTGGAAGCCATCGGGGAAATGTTTGCCCTCTCGCTGTCTGGAATGCTCAGAAATTTGCAGCGTCCTTTATCTTCTGCAAGGCTGGACTCTTTGACCAGATCCCATAATGTCTGGATTTCTGTCTGTTTCTCATGCTCTCTTTCTCTCTCTCATCTGTTGTCTTCTATACTGATGGGACATTCAGAGCCTTGGTACTAATAAGGCATCTAACATGGCGTTTCGAAATGGTGTGATCAGAGAAAGATTTTTTTTTTCTCTCTCTCTCTTCTTTTTGTTGCTTCCTCACTTTTACTGGAGCATGGCTCCGTTCAGGATTATTACATCGATGGAGATGCTCAGTGAAGATGCTGGATCTGATCCTCTCTGTCTGCTTTTAAAGGACGTTCTTATGGCCATGGACTTTAAATGGTGGTTTACTGAACTTAAAACAGGATATGGATGCAACTAGAGACAATGTGAAGACAATGTGCCACTGCTCTTGTATCTATTGAGACTTTTTTTCCCCCTCATGCATTCTGAGTTAACATGTACTGGTACATTTAATGCTGATGTCGTCAAAGAATCGCTACTTGCCACAATTATATGCGTAAGCTTCCTAAGCAACCCTTATGTTAATGATAACGGCAAGGACGAGAGGAAGGGGCGCTTATATGACTCTAGCCCCAAATCTCGAAGGATGAATTCCACTCAGTTTCCTTATGCTCACTTTTAGCATGTGGCTGATCTGACCAATAATGGACAAATGCGAGCTTTGGCTTTGAAAAAGCGAAGCGGAACTTGCCGCCGCTCCATAATTGAACAGAGCTCCACTTGTATACTTGTAAATGGATTTGAGGCGTCTTAAATGTGGTGTTTATGTGAAGTGGGTGAATTATCCGAGTTGTTTTCACTTGAGGACTTGGGGACTCGAAATGGGGAAAAAGGTTGATGTTTCTCAAAATAACGGGGGTAATATCTTAAAAAGTATATTTATATAAGTGATAAGTTTTTTTTTTTTCGTTTTTGTTCCCACCCTTAATTGTCATTTTCATAATTTCTGCTCCATTAAAAAACAGCTGTTACAGATTGAGACATTTGACATTACTAATGGACCTCTCATGATCAGCAGTACTTGAACTTAGAGTTTGCTGTCAGTTTCATTTTGTGAGCATTGATGGATTAAAAGAGCGCAAATAATACTTTTCTCATAGCACAACACTACAAGAGCACTGTTTCTTTCCAAGCCTGATGGGCAATTCTCACAAAACTTTTTACCTCTTGGATCTGAACGTCCAGTATAAAATCTTAAGACTGATTAATGCTTCAACGTTCATGGCGAAAGAGAGCTTGTCAAAATACATCATACCTCCCTGCTTTTTTGTCTTTGTTTCGCAGTGTATTACAAAAAGTGGCTGTCGAAGACTCGTGCATGTGAAGGCGTCTTGCATTTTTCATTGAGAACTCAGGAAAATCCATTCTGTTTGAAAACCTTTTTTGGGCCGTTTGCGCTACCTGTCCACTTTAAGAACCTTCTCTAGTTCCTGAAAGCAAAGAAAAGGATTTTAACAGCTTCCCGTGGTCGCTATTTAGTATTTTATGATGGGGCTTGGTTTCATCGTAAGAAGTGTTAAAGGCCAATGGTGATTAGATAACTGGCTATAAAAATGTATATGATTTCCTTTGTTTACTGAATTTCTAAGTGCTCAGTCAAATGTAACTTACGTTTTTGTTGTTGTTTCTCACCCCTCCGACTTCAAATTTCAGTTGTAAATATTTTGGGACATTTGGGTTTAGTATTTGCAGAGAATGTTGTGATTGTGCCTCTTGGATCAGTCCTGAGTTTGAACTTCGTCCCGTAACAGTCAGGCTCTTGGATATGTATATCTTTAATATGGACGCAAATGTAATCTTTTACTCCAGTCACATGTAAATGTAATTCAAGAGAGCCACTGCAGCAGGAATGTCTTGAATAACTCAAGTATCTGCTTTGCAAGTTATTGCTGCTGTCTTGTTTCAGAGATGTGCTTGGTCTTGGGTTTTCATTGGTGAGATTTGAAAAAGCAGACCTCTCTAAATGTTGTTTCCTCAGAGGTTTGTTCATCTCAAGAAGTACATCTGCGTTCGAGTTTTTGACCTGGGCTTGTCCGCATTGACCAAGGTTTCTGTAACTGATGCGTCTTTCTTCTGTTTCCTTGTCCGAACAGTAATGACTTGTTTGTTTTTGTTTTTCACACTGAACGTGAACCTCACCGTAACCAATAACAGAACCCGTCTCTGGTGCCATCTCATGGAATGGTTTTCTAAGCTCACACTGTTGGCATGCTTTCTTGTTTTTTTTGTTAGGTTTTTCCATTACAAGAGAATTTTGACCATGTACAGTATATTTGTAAACTTGCATCAAGTTTATGAATAAAGAATTTTACGAGGAGCTTGTTTGGGTATCTGTGAGTGACCTGATTGTTGCATTCAATAACTTAAATTGTCATTAAAGGGGTAGTTCACCCAAAAATGAAAATTCTGTCCTTATGTCGTTCCAAACCTGTACGACCTTTGTTCATCTTCGGAACACAAATGAAGATATTTTTGGTGAAAAATAACAACAGAAAATAATGACTATTCAACAATTTCTTCTCTTCTGTGTCAGTTTTTGAGGCACGTTCATGACAGTACCACTACGTATGCATGTGCATTCCTCTGCTTGCAAACAAGGCATGCTTTGTGGTACTTTTGTGAATGTGCCTTGAAGTCTAAAGAGAAGAAATTGTTGAATAAAGTTGAAATTTTTGTTTTCTTTGCACACAAAATGTATTCTCATAACTTCATAGCATTACGGTTGAACCTGTCACATGGACTATTTTAACGATGTCTTTACTACCTTTCTGGGCCTTGAACGTGTCAGTTGCGTTGCTGTCTGTGCAGGGCCAGAAAGCTCTTGGATTTCATCAAAAATACCTTAATTTGTGTTCCAAAGTTGAACAAAGGTCTTACGGGTTTGGAATGACATGAGGATGAGTAACTAATTAATGACAGAATTTTCATTTTTGGGTGATCTATCTCTTTAAGAAAACATTAGGAACTCCAGAATTAGCAATGAATGGATGTATATACAAACTTGAAAAAGCGCTATGTTCAATTTTGAATAAAAAAAAATTCTGTGTAAAGTTATGCTGTTTAATGTAAAATGTATCATTCTGTTTAGTTTGCTGGGTAAACGTTAACATGAATGGTTCTGGCTGGTAGTTTACCACACAAGATTTCATCATGGCTGTGGGAATGGAGCTTGTTACAATTTTTTAAAATATGTCATTAACATTGTCACCAAAGTGTCTGGCTTAAGGCTTTTCTTGACTTGTCAGCTGATGTTTATTTTAGTAATTTATGTATTTTGAGCTATAAATGAAAATGCAAGTTGCAACTTCCCTAATGTTAGTCATAATTTAAAGTTTGTCAAAATGGAAGATTATATGAATTTGAATTATAATTCTTCCTTACCACTTGGGGTAGCTGTTTGCCATTTTTGTCTGCGATTAACAATGTGGCCAAACGTTAGCATGCTCTAGGCCAGGGGTCTCCAAACTCAGTCCTGGAGGGCCGGTGTCCTGCGGAGTTTAGCTCCAACTTGCCTCAACACACCTGCCTGGAAGTTTCAAGTATACCAAGTAAGACCTTAATTAGCTGGTTCAGGTGTGTTTGATTAGGGCTGGAGCTAAACTCTGCAGGACACCGGCCCTCCAGGACCGAGTTTGGTGACCCCTGCTCTGGGCCTATAAGTTACTTATTATAAGTTGCAGCACAATATAAACTTTTTTAAAATTCTATTGTATTAATAGAATACAAATAATAATTAATATTTGCTTATGGCCACTGGAATTGCAACTGATGCTTAAACTAAAGTCATTGGTATTGAACCATAGACACTGGTGCTCGACTCCATGACTGGAAAATGAACACATCCATTTGCTGTACAGCTCCGCATTAAAATGTTATAGTACAAACAAAGATAAATGAGAGTGGGTAGCTGTTCAAAAATAAATTTTATAATATATGTAGATGAGGATTGGTAGTATTTTATTTATTGCAAAACTTGGTCAGCAATGTCATGGAAACCTTTACAGAGTTAAAGTCCTTGTGTGTAGGTTTTGTTGTAGACAATGTACATTTAAAGCACATGACACAATATGATGTTACACAATATTCTTTTACAAGCCAAACAGAACATACACTGCCATATGTCTTGTGAAATTTAGTGTCTTATAGGCACTAATGAACTTTTTGTCCATATTTGGACAGACATTGAGTGACTGTTTAGTATAGTGTCAGTTTGTCCACCAAGTGTATATAAACATAGTTAAGTACTTTATACATTGTGTTAAACAAGAAGAATTAATCTTAGCTCAGGTTTCCTTTCATTCTTTCTGCCTGTTACATAACTGACTCGAACAATAACCCGTTTAGTTCACTTCTCCCCTGGAATGCTCTTAGTGGTGTGAGTGTAGCATGATCTTCAGTCTTTACAAAGCTGGACATTTAATCTTAGGTATCATGTTGACATAGTGTGTGTAGTACAAAACCAAAGAATCTCCTTGTTTAAAGTGTAATTAAAAGTAAAATATAAGACATTTCTGTAATTCCCTCATAATGTTTGCCTGGTTATAGAAAATCATAGTTTCAAAACAGGGTCCAAAGATCTTTGACCGCTATTATCGTGGCATTATTTAACTACCCTGCCTAAAGGAACCTGATAGGCTTTTGCTGTGCTCATTCATTTAAAGGAACCTTTCACCTAAATGCACTTAAAAAGCTCGTAAACATTGCATGATAAATGCGCTAAAGGTTTTGGACTCTACACTGTGCCAAGGTGAATTTCGAGGTTGTCAGGTAAGGTTTGAAATATTATCAATATATAATTCTCTCAAAATAGGATTTGATCTGGCAATGTATAAGTTATTTTATCGTCAGTCCATAGACCAGATTTCAGATTTACATTCTGCTCTTAGTTCATTATGTAATATCTTGACCTTTTACTGCTTCTATATTGTTATAGAAGCAACTTTCCAGAAGTTCTCCAGACTGTACAGTTTGTATTAACCCAAGTATCCAGGTATTAGGGTTTCGTTTTTTGTCATTTTTGTTTTGCTCAGGAAAACGTGGTTCAAAACCAAATTGCAAGTTGTTCATTTCAGAAAATGTCAAACGAAGGTGATGTTTTACTTTGAGAGGTGAATGTACACATTGAAATGGTATTGTTTTAGCATGCACTGTGAGCTTTTTTTTTTTTTACAGATGTCGCAGCATGTGTAGTGAGGTATTGCTTAACTTTGACATATTTAGGAAGCTCTCAGCACATAACACTACTAAACAAATAGAAAGCCGATTCAGATACTACTCATGTGCAACGTGAGAACTTTTTACTTTTTCCTGAAAACATTGTGTACATTGTGCCACACATATGTACATTAACCTGCTTTGTAAATGAAGTGTTGCTGTAAATCAAGTTGTTTTTACAAGGTACAGGGTTGATGCCATGACTGCTTAATAAGGAACAATTAAATCAAGACATTGTAAAATATGCAAAATTTAGTTTAAGGCACTTGGTATAGCAAATAAACCAGATACAATCAGAACTGTATATTTAACTGTTTTCTAAGTGAAATATTTAGTACCTACTAAACAAATATAAATTCTGCTGCAATATGGACCAGACATTATGCCGCATGTCAAAAGTATATCTACACAACACAAGACCATGACAGATCCATAAAAGCAAATAAGCATAAGCAAGTATCGTAATCATTGCTGTCAGTGGTATCCAATTATAATGTAAAAAAGCTGCCTTTTGTTTTTTTTCTTGACTTTTCTCTTTTGTTTTCCTCAAAGGGGTCATGAACTGCCTTTGTTTTTTTTATTTTGTACTGTTCTCTGAGGCCCACTTATAATGCTATCAAGATTTTTACATCAAAAAGCATAATTTAGAAGTAATAGGCTATTTTCTGTCCTGTTTTGACCCCCCTCATCAGATTGCTCAGTTTGAATAGGCGTGGCGGATTATAAGTAAACGCCCACTGCTATGATTGGCTAACATTTGTGTATGTTTGACAGCCTACATCATTCACAGATAGACGCTGCTGTGATTTGTTAAAAACACATAAATACTCAGTACATATCAAATTAGCTATAATAACACACAAAGCAATAGTGACCACATAATAAAAACAGTTACTCACACTTGTGTTGTGACATTAGCCTACTGTCGGATCCAATATAGTCGGCACAGCATCGTCTTTTAGTTTCAGTCTTTCTGAAAGTCCTGCATCATTAATCCAACCAGGGACGTGCACAGACATTTTGAGGGGCAGGGGCTCAAGTGGGAAAAAGGGCACTTCTCATATTTATTTAAAGGGGTCATATGATGCTGCTAAAAATTATTTTGTGTATTTGGTGTAATTAAATGTGTTTATGCGGTTTAAGGTTCAAAAAACACATTATTTTCCACATACTGTACATTATTGTTTCTCCTCTATGCCCCGCCTTTCTGAAACGTGTCGATTTTTACAAAACTCATCAGTCTGAAAAGTGAGGTGTACGCTGATTGGCCAGCTATCCAGTGCGTTGTGATTGGCCGAATACCTCAAGCGTGTAACGGAAATGTTACGCCCCTCACCATACTGTGATGATGCCTTGTCAGGCCGGAGCGATGATTCAAAAACATGAAAACCCATTATAAACGAGGCATTCGTTGCATCCAGTGGGGACATAATTATGGATTATAATGACTTGTACTGTCTTTTTACGTGTTGCGTTGCATCGCGCCGCGTAAACATAAAACCATGTCTGTATAACACTCCAAAGAGAAAGGAAAAATTTAAATTGCATCATATGACCCCTTTAAAAAAAAATAATTCTAACCAAACCGTTAAATATATTAGGGATGTGCGATATTGACAAAAATATATCTCAATATTTTCTGGGATTTTATTGATAACGATAATTAGATGATATTTTGCTGAGTGTGTTATTGTGCTGATATCTTAAGGACTGCAGTGGACAGCTGACTCCTAAAATTTTTTATATCCTGTTTTGATATTTTAAACATAAAACGTTGAATACTGATATTTGAAATTATAAAAAAAAATTTTGAAAGATACTTTGAATGTGAAATTAAAACTGCCAGTAGGTGACAGCAAGTCACTGTTAATAAGTGAGTCATTGCGACTGAACCGAATCATTTAAACTGTTGATTCATTCAGGAACGAAACACCGTCATGTTGCTCAGAGATGCAAATTGGAATTATATTGGTTGGCGAAACAAAGCAAAAACAGTCAATATTAAATTCTTGTTTATTGAACTGCTGTATAAAATCAATATCACATTTGTAATCATGCTGCTTTTTGGTGGAAAAAACGTCATTTTAATAAACTGAATCATACAGTGAACTGAATCATGTAGCTCTCATGAGTCATGGATGTTAGCAAGACAAATTAATTGCTTTTTGTCTTTTGGGTAATTAGCTGTAAATTCGAGGCACGGGTAGCTTTTAGTCTAAGCTTTAGTCTTTTGTTCTTCACCACTCACCTCCACTCCGAGACAAACACAACTGGAAAGGGAGGGAGGGCTTCACTTCTGCGGCTCTCTGCATGTCTGTGACCTGATGTGCAGCTGATCAATGTGTGCTACCATAGGGGAGGGTGAACCAACTCCAGGGTAAGGCTAAAAGCAGTCAAATCTATTAACTACAAACATCATAAACCTGTCTTTTTAGGCAAGAACCAGACATGGGTGTCATGTAGGCTAATAAAATATGTTTAATGG